TTGTCGACCACTTTCTAACAAATCATTTATAATTTTATCTTTTATGTCATATTCTTCCAAGTCAAGAGCGCCTATTATTTCATTCTCGGCTAATTTTAATATTTCATCATCGACGACATTGCCACACTTTCCTGTTGAAGAAAGTTTGATTATTGATAAATTAGAAGAATGGGTGGGTATGGGGTGCATCTGTGTCTTTAGCTGTGAGTAATGACTAGACCTACACCTCAAAAACTAAAAGGTCCAAAATATTCAATAACTGAAAGAAATGTATACCAGTGTGTAATAGGATCAATCGATGGGAAAATTGTTCGCACTTATGGAGTGATGGTTCTTTCTGTCCCAAGTCGCCCACAGCAAGAAGAAATAGAACGAAATCATGTACATATTTCTACCATTCATGGCACTTTTTCGTACACTTCCATTCAAATAGTTGTGTATCACTTACTGCAAAAAAGTGATAGGATTATTATCTGCTCTTAAGTTATTTTCGACTTCTACTTGTGAAGGTAGAAACTATTGAAGAATTTTTGCTTTGTTCATGTGTAATTTCTTTTCACTCAAATGGACACAAATAACGCCTGTTTTTCTTTCAAAAGACAGCATTTTTTTGACTCTTTGAGTTGTAAGCCATCTGTGCTGTGAACGGAACTATTTCCTGTCTTTGAAGTGTACGGTTCATCTCTAAGAGTGTACGGATGATTTCAAGATAGACATTTTCCATCAGCGAATGACTGAGAAAAAAAATAAGAAAAATAAGTAGAAACCAGAAATGATTGATTGTGAAACTCTCTCTTGCATAAACTATGACGTCACTACAGCCAGTAGCTGCGGATGTGGGATGAAGGCAGGTGCCTACATGTGTTTAGATATATTCGTTACTTACATCCATCCCTGCAACTACATTGACACCAATGAGGATACTCACACATGCACTCATATCGACATTGTCTGATTAATCTTTCTGTGGATACTAATTAGTCAACCTCTAGCTTGGAGAATAATCCAGTTGACACTTTAGCTTTGTTTTAAAAGTTAAAGTTGAAGTTCTACTTTAAATTTTACCAGTTAAAACTGAAGTCGATAGGTGTGGTTATGGGTGTTGATGTTGGTTTAACTAGTGATAATGAAAACACTCACATCTACCCTTGTGAAAAAAAGAAACCGACCGTACACGCGTGTCTTTGAGTTACCTGTGTCAGCATGTGCAGTAACAGTAGTTGTTGACAATGGTCCCTTCATCGTTTTCTGAATGTTATGATCAGTCGTAATGCGAGAAATAAGTTCATCAAGCTGAACAACAACACCTTTTACCTATTGATATAGAATTATAGAATGCAATTGAAATTATCAAATTTATTTTACTTTGACAAATCTGCAAGCCCATTGTTCATTGATTTCTTTATTCATACAATACACATATATTGACATAACTTGTTGAAGATTGTGAACAGAAGGTACTATTTCTTTTCCCAATTGACCACTAACAATCATTACCAGTCGATCTTTTTCTGATTGCTCTTCAATATATTTCTGACATTGTTCTTTATCTTGAAACTTTTCGAAATGCTTAACAATTGAGGCTAATTTTTGCTCTGCACTTCGGCGCTCATTCGTGTTCACATTAGCATCAAGCCAAATGATGCAGGAGATGTCATCACCTATAATAACAGCGCTTTTGTGAACGTCTTCAGATACTAGAATAGAAGGGTCGCTGCTCATGAAGAATAAATAGAATAGATATTTTGAAGATTAGCTTTTCAACTTAGTTATTGAATGTATAAATGCTTTTGGCACTCATAAACGATTGTTACACTCTTAATTGTATTATTTTATTTATTAGTATTCATAATATTGAATTTTCCTAGTTTTGAGGCAAAGAGGATAAAAGAGTAAGTTATTTGAATACGCGAAAGAAAATAAATTTCTCCTGACCCTTTACTTTTGTAGGTAAGATTATTGAATCGAGCTGCCAAACTTAAGCATGTATCGAAATTGTTTGTATTTTGTTTTGTTTAGTCAGATAAGAAAGTTTTAAATCATAAGATATCGTCTCGTGTCAAGATCACTACTGTCACTGATTACTACACAACCCTACTGTCAATTTGACAGAATCTGTCAAATTGATATGTTCTTGTTTGCAAACAAGTGTCATACAATCAAAAAATCCTATTTCTTATCTAATTGAAAAATTTCTAATATTTACAGAATTATACAAACTGACAATGGCAGACATAATAAGCTGAACTTTACTATGAAAATTTTTTGTCTTCGTTGATTTTTTCAAATATATACTAGCAATATATGTATGACATTTCTCATTCTCTAAATATTACTAAAGATTCCCAATGAGATTGTAGTAAAGAAGACAAAAGATTTTATTCTTGCAGACTTCTCACGGATTGAAAAGATGTTACAAAAAGGATTAATCTTTGTTATCTCAGAGTGAAGAAATAAGTCTCTTCACAGATGGCATCTACACCTCAGAAGAAAATCTTTTCTGAATAAGAAGCTCATCCTTTCGATTCTGTTAACTATGAATATCCGATGACATTCTATTCACATTTTAGATGGATGCATGAAATCAAAAACAAAGATTTCATATGCCATTCATGTCGATTTAAAATCGTAGGGAAAATCTGTTGTTATTTCACGAAAATCTGGGTATATGTTGAACAAAAACCAAAACTGCTTTTCTTGTCGTAGAAAACGTTTACAAAAACTAATACATGTAATATCGACATAGGCGCCCAAAACAGAAAATTCTACTCGATTTCCTCGAATTTCTAGTTTCTGTAGGGTGAGTATATCTCTCTAAATCTAATTAATCTCTCAATTTGATTAGAATCACTTATGAAAATGAGAGAAAACTTTACAAGTCTTACAAAGGATATCTCAAGTACATTTTGATTTCTTAGAATCGAATATAATTTTGATTTACATAGTCGACTCATATAATACAATGTGACTAGATCTACGAGAGCTCCCAACTCTATGCAATTATTCTTTTTTAAGATCTCGGCTTTTTTTACGATAAGCAGCAGCTGTTGTTCATAAGTTCAGTGAGCTGCCTGAGATACGATTGGTTCATGTTTCTTTAGAATCGAGCTAAATCCACTTCGATTTTCAAACGTTCCGACAAAATCAGTTTCGATTTGGTTCAGTATGGTTCGATCTGAAACCAAGTCGATCACATGCCGGTGAAATATCTAATCCTCAAATGAAAACATCACCTAATCGGTGTTTTGAATAGAGATGCTTGTGATAATATGTCATGTTAAAAAATATAATTATTTCACGTACAGTTATAACTCCAGTTATTTTGATATAGAATGGCAATTTCGAAACAATGTATTCTCATAAGAAGATTCATCATTCAACTCTCACGAAATTGTCTATTTCTATTAATAAAAACGTACTTTATCATTCTTTGATACCGGGCACAAACGATGACTGTAAAACGTACACTTTTGTCAAGTTAGTCTCTTTTTACGAAAATTTCATTAGACAAGTTGTTTTTATATTTCCAGTAATGTTAATTAACTTTCTCCTGTTGCTATTCCTAGTTTGACTAATTTGTGAATTTATTGTTGGAAGATTAGCAAGGAGTGGCATATCTCACATCCCTACTAACTATGAAATGTGAGTATCACGATTTGAAAATGCTTAAAATTTTGAACTGCTATAAACATAGTTATCTATTCATTTGGGATGTCAGTGTGGGTGTGTACTTGAGGCTTTTTCACATCCACATTTCATGCCAGCACCCTTCTCAAGATGTTCTGAATAACAAGCAAGATATTTACATTCACATAAATGTCAACGATAATGAAAGAGCTGTGGAAGAATATCCTCTCTTGTTTTATAAATTTGATATTGACTTTCTTTCACTTTGAATTAGACTTGGGGTACATCTTTTATCTTTCACTGGTTTGTAGATATTTGTTTACGTTATACCTTTCTCTCATTTCGAATAAACTATCATAGTTTTATTTTCTTCACGTTGTGTAAGTTTGGAAACTACACTCATCTTTAATTTTTATAAAATTTGAACTATATCTTCATTCGATTTTGTAAACTTCTTATACGATGGAACTATTTCACACTCGAACTAGTAATAGCGGTTGCTGAAAACTCGATTAATTCCTGTGACAAGTCAGAAAGTTTGCAAAAAAGCTTGTGGCGGTGGTGCTTTCACTGCTCACACATACACTCACACGCATATGCTTTCTTAAAAAAAATGTCTAATCGGTTGGATTAAGAAAGTTTTTTTTTTGATTTCTTCATTTATTTTCTCATTCTATTGCAATACTTTGTTTCTCGTCTAT